AAGTATAGCTCCAATCAGTAAGGTGTGTTTTATGCTCAGCAGACCAGAAATATCTGGTGTTGTTTTGGTAAAGTAAAACCACTTTAAAAGACACTGTAAGGTACCTGGAAGTCCTGAAAATCTATATCCATGCTAATAAAGCATCAAACCATCTTCTTCCTGATGTACATGGCAATGGTTTCAGAGAGAAGTTCAGGATGAGAAAGGCAGTGCAGGGAAGACCTTTCCAGGGTAGCAGGACTGAAATTGTAAAATTACCTTGTATAACCAGGGACATTTTTTGTGTGAGTGAGCCAGCCTCATTTTGAGCAAGGCAGCTGAATTCACCATCAGTGAAATCACTGACATTGAGTATCTGAAGAATCCGGCCTGCTGCCAGGAGATGATGTCGCAGACTGAGAGGCTCACCAGAGTTAAGCCAGGTGATGTTTGGGGTTGGATGACCATCAACAGCACAACCTAAAAAACAGGGCCATGAAAGAAACCTATTGAGTACCTAATGTGTACTGAACTTGCTATAAAGTGAAGTGGCTGAACTTGCTATGAAGTGGCCAAAGTTAGGGGAAGTAGTCAATTCAATCCCATTTTCTCCTCATAATATCTCATAAGGAGAAATAGTAATTCTGTAATAACGAATACCTTTTCATCTACTGGGAAAAAAAAAAAAAAAAGGCTTTGTAGGGTTCCCAGTATTTTGGATCATCCTCATTTTGGTATTGAAGAAAGTGCGATAGGGAGGTAACATCTAGCATAAACTAAAGGAGTATGCTTGAACATGAAATACAAACAGGACTTGGTCTCCAAACTCCCTATTTAAACCACAGGGCCACTTTACTCTTCCTCTCTCTCTTTTATTTTTTTTTTTTAATTATTATTATTTTTTTGTTTTGTTTTGTTTTGTTTTTTTTAGTTGGTTGGTTTGATGTGGTTGGTTGTTTTTTTCTGGGGGTTTTTGGTTCTTTGCTTGGGGTTTTTATATTAAAAATCAGAAATTTTTGTTAAACAAAAGACTTGTTAAAAAAACCAAAGAACCTTTAGAGGTTTGCTGGTGGTGGTGCTTTGTCGCACCAATGGGCAATTCTCCAAGCAACAACCAACCAAAACCAGCAACTGAAAAACCCTGATGTTCTGAAGCATTGTGTAAAGCCTGTGCATCATCAGCAAAGCTGATGAGGCTCAGGTTCACAGTGAGTTCTTTGCCTGTTGACCTCCTGACAGGAGCGTAACTACAAGACTCTGTGGTCCTCACACCAGCTGCGCACTTTGCCAGTTTCATGACAAACTGCAGAAAATTTATGAGACTGGCATAACTTGGAAAAAGTAGCTAAGTTGCCTTACCTATTTCATGGGAAAAAAAAAAGAAAATAACTAGGTGATTTCCATGGTGCAACACATCCACACCAACTGCAGGGGTAGGGAGCCAGAAACACGTGTGAGGGACAACATGTACTACTTGGACTGTTTGTGGCTTAGGCTGGTCCTGCTTTCCTGTGCCTGTCAGTGACACATGAAAGTCTTGTCTAAGTTTCTGTGAATGCAATCTATACTGACTGTTAGTTTATACTGTTTGCTTATGTTAGTATGTATGTGAATGAATGACTCTACTGTATACAAAATCCCTTCTGAAAGAAATGTACTATATAAGCAAATGTAACGTGAACAATCACACTAGCAGTGTTCAAAAGGAATGGGATAAAAAAAAAGAAGAGTACAAATTTAAAACACCAAAAATGGAAGACTGTTCTAAGATTAAGGAATTATTGCATCAGCTCTCATCTCCATGTAATTCAATTATTAGTTATTAATGACTGAGACAAATAAGGATGTGAATATGAAGTCTCTGTAACTCCATTACACAATGAACACTCACTGCAATGTGACATTTTTGTTACTGCTCTTCCTTTCATTCTTGTCTGTCCACCTGAGGAGAATCTCAACTAATATAAACTAAGCAAGTATTGTTCCTACAGGAGAGACAAAATGACTTATAGTTGCTGCAATGAAGATTTTATTTACATATACATTTCTTTCCTTAAGAATTGGCTATATCTCACTGAGGTGCCTGTCACTGCAAGAATAAAAATACTATAGCCATAAATTTACCCAGAAAGGCTGAAGACTTTGATTTCCAACCATTATCAAGACCAAATCTTTGAGACTTAAGGAACACATTAGTTTGTTTAGTAACCCTTGCTAGCCTTCTTTTGACTTTGGTCACACCTCTAAACTAACAGTAGGGATCTGGGCTACTATGGTCTTTACTTGTGTGCCTTCTGCCATTAATCATACCTCCAATTACACTGTTCCTATGACAGAAGATGCTGTCTTTCCCATTTTCTTTATTTTCTTGCTTATATAGCAGAAGATCTCACACAAGATGGAAAATGCCAGTGGTGACCCATGGCATGCACCAGCCATTGTCAAACTGAGAGGCAGATCCAGACGCCAGGGAGAAACCATCTGCCACTCAGGATTATAAATATTGGTGCTTGTGGGGTGTGGCTATACCAGGTGCTGCAGAGGCATTCTGGGAATTGTAGTTTTAAAGTACTCTGTTGCACATGCTCACTTGAATGCTTGTATGGGATTGGCTTAGGAAGTTACCTGTGTGACGTGGGATCATTTGAAACTACTATTTAAGCTGTGACTGATTAAAGAGAGATTCGTTAATCACCACACTGGTGTTCACCATGGTCCCTATGGGACTTATTTATTTATTATATTAATAACTGCTACAGGTGCTCTCACTGGTGCAGTGGCTATATGAGTCTTTGCTGTGTCCTCTGTTGCTGTCAAACTCTGCCTGCATCCACAGTGGAGAAGGGTGTGGGCTGGCTACAGCTGCCTTCTGGGGCTCATTCACTCTGTGGAACCGGTGTGGCAGAGAGCAAGGGCTCCACAGCAGAAGACTGACACAGTAGGCTCCACAGCTGCAGTGACAAAGTTGCACTGGAAAAGACCTAGTTAATGCAGATAAATCTTTAAAAAAAAACAAAGAAAGAAGGAAGGAGGAAGGCAGAATGAGAGAGTGCAAACTGTTCACAGTGGTCTCACCTCTTCCCTTTTTTAAAGTTTTATTTATAGGGGTGAAGAGTCCGCTACTTGTTTTAAATTCCTTGGCAAGGTCTAATGCAGTTTTATCCTTTGCAGTTATCTCTACCCAGCACTCATATTCTGGCTACAAAGACACAGCATTCTTTGCTGCTCAGTCCTTTTTCCTGTTTTTGTAAGCTCTCTATTTATTCCTCTTGTGTTTCACCTTTCTGTGTTTTTCTCACTCTTATGCTGAAAAAATAACTCCTGCAATTTCCAGGATACTCATTCCCAGGTAAATATGACATGAAAGATTTTAGCCTCATAAGTTTAAGGCTGTCTAAGTTAAAAGCAATGGAAACCAAAGGAATATACAGGAAATTGAGAAATTTATCAATAAGTGGCTCTGGCTGTTGCCTACAGTATTCTAATTTTTTAGAGTTACTTGTCTTTTAAGATAATTGTAGTGATTTCCACAGGTCAGCATATAGTCATGACAACTAACAAAGACACGCTTTGAGCTCAGTTTTACTGTTTGCATTTGCAAACAGTCTGTATAGTGTAAAGGAAGAAAGCAGAAAGGTCAGTTTGATGTTATGCACAGAGGAATTGAAGTTGACTTCAGCTTGCAAATGGCCCTAGTTCATGCTCTTCTTCTTTTAAAAAATTAGTGTCAGGAAAACCTGAAGAATCTTCCTAGTACTGACTATTTTACTTGCTTTATGTATCATTTCCTCTTCCAAAATGTATATATAAAATCTTAGCTAAAGGAACAGCCAGTAATTGATAATATGGGGGAAAAACCCCAAAAACTATTCCCTAGATATGTTTTACATGAGTAATTATTACTTAATTGCAAAACTTTACTAACATCTTTCAGTCACATTTCACAACTGACATTTCCTATATGTTTCCCACATGTATGGATGCATAAGTTGTGGGATAATGTTTATGCATTATATTATGAGAACTAGAGTACAATAAAACTCCATGTTTCATTAATATCCCCTTCTCATCTTCCACCAATAGTTTTAATATCATTTAATGCAGATAATTAACAGTCCCAGTGGACAGTACTTTATCCTTTCAAAGCTCAGCATCTGTCCCTATAATGCCTGAGAAGGAAAAGCTGGCTTTGTTTCCAGACAGCACAGCTTTAGGTTATTGAAACCCTTGGGAAGATGAGCAGGGAACATATTTTTGGGACTACTTTGAGCAGTGAAAGCTCTAGCAATAACACACCCTTTCTCCTTTAGTCCTTCTTAAGTAGAGAAAGAAAATATTGCCTTCAGCCTCCTTTCCAGTGTCTAGTGGGACCCTCAATTCATTCAAAGCCATGATGGGTAACTAATGTATAAAAGCTGGAGATACAAACAAAAATCTAATAAAATAACATCTTCTAGTAGGGAAAATATTAATATTTCAAAGATAACAAGGGGGTATTTGGAAAGGGAAAACCAATGTTTCACAACAGTGCTAATAATTCTTGAGAGGAAGGAATACATACACACTGCAGGCCAAATTCAGCCCCCCATTACAGCTTTGCAGCAGTTTCTGAATCACTGTAGCTGCAGAAAGACCATGGGCTACCACACTATTACTAGGAGAACAAAATACAAAGTATGCATCACTTTTTCACTTGCAGACTTGAATGAAAGGAAAAATAAAGTGCAAAGGCTGTTGATTTTAGAATTCCTTTTTTTTTAGCAGTCCAATACCTTAAATGAACAAAACTATATAGAAAGTACTGGTAAATACTGGTAAAAATGTCACGTAATTTTTTGTAAGTATTAAATACATTTCATAATGTAAATACAAAAATACACCATTGCCTTTAAGAGAGATATCTAATCTTGAAATATAGATTATTTCCAGGCTTTCATATTTATCTAGCAAGTAGCTCTCTAATTTTACTATTGACCTGATGATTAGTCCCTGGCAATATTTCTAATCTTTATTGAAGACAGAATCTGAGTGAAGAATTCAGGTCAAGATCAGGTAGTTTCTTTGAATTTTTTTTAAAGGAACCTGTCCTGCAGTCTAACCTCAACAAGCTATTTAGCTTTCCAACTGTATCCCTGATGCTGCTGTGCTGTGGGAAGTAAAATTACCTTTCCCATTCTCCCAGAAGCTAATCAAGAGAAGTGAAGGTGCGTTCTGTCTTACCTTAGGCTAAAACATGTGCCAGCAGTGCAGCTGGACATCAAACTCTTGCCTTCTTAGCCTCAGGCCAACACTTTTATATTTGGAAATAATTTTTTAAATAGATAGAGGTAGGTCTGAGTAACACGGCCTGGTTGTAAACACACACTGTGGTTTACAACTGGAATCCATTGGTATTAATGTCCAACCATATACTTGTAGTTCAGTTTTACACCCTTGCTATTCATCAGTGATCACTGCAAAATAGACGGATGTTTGTGCTGCATTGGTTCAAAGTATTTTGAATTACCAAAAATAAGGCTGAATTTGACAAGAAGCAAGCGCACTGATTGGTTAGGGACTGCATGTATTAGGACACCACAAAGTATGATAAATGTAGGACAGAAAGTTCACAGAAAACTTCAGCTAGACTTACAAGCCAGAAGGCCCATGTCCCTGCCTCTGCAAGTCACAGACATTTACCTATCCAAACATAAAAATGGGAGATGAAAAATGATTGCTGACTACTATCTGAAATGCCTGGTAAAGATGGAGAGAAGGGGTTTTGGCAGTAGTATTGTTAATTACATTAAACCTGAAACAAAGCAAACTAAGGGTTTCTAGGTATATCATACTGAACTCTGACAGTAAAGTGTTGTAGACCACAATACATGGTGTTAAAGTAATAAATTTAATGCAGCTAGAGGACTTGAAATATGACAGTATTTCCACTCTAGCCTCTACATTCAAGGAGGTAAAGTATACTTTCAAAACAGAAGCCAGATTAAGAATGAAATGAAGAACAAAATGCTCAGAACAAAATGTAGACAAGCCACAGATCAAACTGAATAGATACTAGCTCAGTGCCTGTACTGCTATGTTGTGACTGAACCATGCTACTGTGTTCACACTATGCAGGTAAAATAACAGGCAGGGAGAAATGTTTCCCCAATTTCCTGTCATTCCCGATTTTCTCCTTAGATGACTGAAATGAGAAACGCATGTTAAACTTAAGCAAATTAAATTCAATTCCATCCTGTATCTAACATAAGGATGAAAATTTGTATTCAACTTTTAAAACACAATCAAACCAAATGAAGGTAGGTAAAATCCGGTCCGAAAGTCACATATGTGTAAAGCCTGTTTTTGCTGAAGAAGCAAAACTAAGAGACATGTCTTGATAAGTTTGTCTCATGGGAAAAGACCTTTCAATATACTACAAAGTGCAAATTTAAACACTTAACTCGGGTTGTTATGCAAATTAGTTCTCAGTGCTTTCACACATTAAATGAAATAAAATTTATAAAAGATAATGTGACCTGAAAACCCCCCAAAGAATTAATGTTACTGTAAGTATAATCTTTACTTATAATTTTTTAATGGAGGTCAAATAACATGAATTTATGTTAGACAAGGAAAACAATGTATTTAGGATTTTTTTAAATAGGCCAATTCAGTGAGTATAACAAAACCATATTCAAAATTATTTATTCAATGCTAATAAATACCTTCAGATATTTCCTCCACTGAGGACTATTTCAGGTTTTTTCCTCCACTGAGGACTATCTGCAGGTTTTTTTACCAGCAGAAATGTAATTCAGAGCTGCATGCTTAAAGCCATTGCAAATATATGCAGAAGTCAGCATTTGAAAAAGTAAACCTTACAAAACTGAAAACATAAATAGAAAATCTCCACTGTGAAAATAAAATCTTAAAATTGCTACTAAATGTAAGGAAAGAATTCTTTGGAAAGTACATAGATAAAAACACTCAGGACATCTACAGATCCCTTGCTAAAAGTTTCAGATCCCTGCCTCTCAAAAGAGATATGATTGTTCTCAAACTATAAGGCTTGACAAGTTTTCACCATATGCAGTAACAAGGTCATTAGAAAAGCTGTTTGGCTATCCGAACGTGACAGTCAAGAGAGGCTCAAGATCAGCATGTGAAATTAAATCATAAAATAAACATACCCTGAACTTTAGAAAAGGATGAGGTTCCCTCTGCAAACAAATCACACCCCCAGATCTGAAAGGATTTACAGCATATAAGAGAACTTGCAGTGTAAAGAGGATAAAGAATATGGAAGGCAGAAAACAATGAAAAGAAGAAAAGCATTTAATTGGGAATGATTTCCTTATGTGGCTTTATGCAAACATTGGTTGTTTGATATAATGAAGAGGAATAAAATAACCAGATTGAAACAGAGAGCTTACAAGATCAAAACATGTCTCGAGGGATAGGCAAAACCTGGAAAAGGCTCTGAAGAAGGAGGATATACAATATGAGTAGCAAACATACGGAAAGACGACTACCCAAATGCAGAAGAAAAATTAAAACAGAACAACCAGTGTTTCTTCTTTTACATCAACTGGCACACCAGTTTGCGACATCTTTGCACTGAATGAGACTCCCAGCTCCTCAGAGCAGGGACTGCTTCTTATGAGGTGCTACAACAATGACCTTATTCAGCACGCAGCTTTGGACTGACAGAAGGACAACATTTTTTTAAAATGAGTTTCTGAGTTCTAAGAACTATTTGGCAGTGAATATGACTGAAAATGCACAGTTGATTTGATGTCTTTTGTCCCAGTGGCCGTGGCTGGATAACAGTATCCTTAACCGTAATGGATAATCAGATGCATAACTGTAATATATCTCTAAATAATCCTTATAATATATATAAATAATAAATAATATTTATTATAATTATTTATGAATTATTTATAATAATAAATAATATTTATAATAATATAATCTCTAAATCTCTTTATAATCTAAAAAAATCTGAAAGCACTTGACTTACCTATGAGAGCAGAGCTCCCGGGACTGACAGCCAGTTTTGTTCCTGAAGGAGAGGTCAGCACTGAATGAGTGCTGGGCCCAGCACTGGAAAGCACTGCTGCCAAGTCTTCTAGGTAAGGAAGAGGTCGTGGAGGCTCTGGTAACAGATTGGGAGACTGAAGTGACAAGCAACACTATAGCAGAAAACACCTCTGGGACAAGAAAAAAAAAACCACCAAAAACTATTGCTGCATTATTTGCTGCACTGCAACATAACCATTTCAGAGGGACAGATTTAGCAACTTCAGGCAACTACCAAGAGTGCTTTGCCTCATGTTAGGTAAGGCACTGGCGAAAGGATTAAAATAACATCTGGGTCAGTATAACCACAAACCAAAATAAATTCTTTCTGAAGGCTATCACGGCATTCTAGTTGTCCTTCTTCATAAGTGAAGAAGGTATATGGTATCAGGAGATACAGCAGCTTGAAAGAAAGAGCAAATTTATACAGCACAGAAGCCAAATCTAATGTTCATGGTAATTAGTGAAAAACTTTCCAGTGTCTGCTGCAACCTGGATCAAGCCCTGATTAATATGGTTATAACCCTGCCAAATCCTGGGGTATGCTTAGGCAGAGCTCCAAAGGACTAAAAGTTCAGAGCTCAAGAGGATCAGTCTATGCTGAGAACTGCAGGAGTTCTTTACTAATCATAATGCTATTTTAAAAATTAACTGTAATACCTATCATTCCCAATTCTATTTGTCATGAAAATGATGGGATATTTGATTTAAATGAATAGCGGCTTCATCATCTTTTAATAATATCTTGGCACACATTAGGCAAATTTTCTACTGCTGATAGCATTGAGCACCAGAAGTACAGGTCATGGATGCTTGAACTGTTTTATTTCATCAAGGAGCTAAAAATGTCATTTGCTTACAAACACAAGCAGCTTGCATAACTCACAGTAACTTACCATCCTTAAAAGCTAAGCCGTTTATAACGATCAGAAAAGAATTTACAGATCACGTGGGAGTTTTTATTTATAGGTTGAAACTCAGCTGGGGAGTTTTTTTAGATTCTTTTTTTTCTTTCTAGACAGATTCTAGAGTTAGTCTATTTTGTAGGAGAAATATGTGAACTTTCATTTTAGTATTTTCTGTGAAACTGAGAAACCTCATTTTAAGACATCCTCTTGAAGCTCATTCTAGTCATGAAAGATGAGAACTGTAACAGATACTCTAATGGTGTTGTACCAATAACAGAGATTAGGGTTCAAAATTTAAGACTCCACTATCAAGTGCAGTCAAGTCGGGTTGGATCATTCATCTGCCAGGCATGCAGAAATGACAGAAGATGAGTTACTAGGAAAGGAAACCCCTTACCCACACATCCAAATACCA